CATATAGTATAAGAAAAACAGACCAAAACACAAAAACTTAACTATAACCACTGAACCATGAAAATGAGGTCAAGGTCAGATGACACCTGCCAGTTGGACATGTACACCTTACAGTCCTTCCATACACCAAATATACTAGACCTATTGCTTATAGTATCTGAGATATGGACTTGACCACCAAAACTTAACCTTGTTCATTGATCCATGAAATGAGGTCGAGGTCAAGTGAAAACTGTCTGACGGGCATGAGGACCTTGCAAGGTACGCACATACCAAATATAGTTGAACTATTGCACATAGTATTAGAAAAAAAGACCAAAACTCAAAAACTTAACTTTGACCACTGAACCATGAAAATAAGGTCAAGGTCAGATGACAACTGCCCGCTAGACATGTACACCTTACAATCATTCCATACACCAAATATAGTAGACCTATGGCATACAGTATAAGAAAAACAGACCAAAACACAAAAACTTAACTATAACCACTGAACCATGAAAATGAGGTCAAGGTCAGATGACACCTGCCAGTTGGACATGTACACCTTACAGTCCTTCCATACACCGAATATACTAGACCTATTGCTTATAGTATCTGAGATATGGACTTGACCACCAAAACTTAACCTTGTTCACTGATCCATGAAATGAGGTCGAGGTCAAGTGAAAACTGTCTGACGGGCATGAGGACCTTGCAAGGTACGCACATACCAAATATAGTTATCTTATTACTTATAATAAGAGAGAATCTAACATTACAAAAAATCTGAACTTTTTTTTCAAGTAGTCACTGAACCATGAAAATGAGGTCAAGGACATTGGACATGTAACTGACGGAAACTTCGTAACATGAGGCATCCATATACAAAGTATGAAGCATCCAGACCTTCCACCTTCTAAAATATAAAGCTTTTAAGAAGTTAGCTAACGCCGCCGCCGCCGCCGTAGCCGCCGCCGCCGCCGCCGCCGGATCGCTATCCCTATGTCGAGCTTTCTGCGACAAAAGTCGCAGGCTCGACAAAAACTGTATTTTTTTTTATTTGTTTCCTTAAAATTTTCCTTTTGATAGGAATTATAATGTGAAATTAATCAATTATGAATGTTATCCTACCCAACAAAACTGAAAACTACCCCCATCCTCATGAAAATGTAGAGAAAGATTACCAGTACTTTTTTTAACAAAAAAAACAGAGAAACTATGAAAAAAATTAAGCATATTATTTATTTAATTTGCTTCAAATGGCCATTTAGTTATGCAAAGCTATGAGAACACAACTACAGGGGTCTGGAATTGGAGGGGAGGGTTTTTACAGAATAGAGAAGAATGGGCCAAAAAAACAATGGTTGGCCTAAAAAATTGCAGAAAGAAATGAATATCCCCATTTAAACCTCATTCGCTTTTCCAAGGCCTGTCATCCAAGGAAACAATTAGCAGAACACTGGATATGCATGAAAACCATGTGGTCATTTTGAAAGAATGATTAGAAATATATATTCTGTATAAAATACATTTCATTATAATAAAGTTGGAAGATGTACAATCAAGCTTAACAAGTTTAAACATGCATAAGAGGTGAAAAAATCATTAATAGACATTATCCAGGCTAAAAATACCACATACTTATTTCATATTTATTGGGTTTATTGATTTTAACAAATTCCTGCAGGGTATTGAACCAAGAAGTTGTTGCACAATGACTGAGATCACCCCATAGCAGGGCCCCATTATTCACATAGGGAAGCAATTTTCTAGCCCTGGATTGTGTATGTACTAAAAGCTTTTAAACTGTGTCAATAATGAGCTATTTTTGGACAAGATCAGATAAAAGGGGTGCTAAAAATAGCTGACTTTTGTAATCTCTGAGAGTGGGCTTAGATCTCCTGATTGATTATGTGTATTAAATACCTTTACACAGGTATACAGAAAAGGTGTTAGATTTCCTATGTCATAACTGGGATTTCAAATCTAACCTGCCAAATATTATTTTATATTAATCCCGCTTTCATTTTTCATTTGGAAGTTGAATGACCGTGGAACAGGCAGCACCTTAATGCATGTAACATGACAACTTACAAAATGTACTAGTGTAATTATCTTGTTCATTGTATATATAAATATATGTCTTATATCCAGATCACTGTATTAATTAGAATATTTTACTCTATATTATGTTAATATTTCATTTCAAAATCATTCTTTAACCAAACGCCAATTCTGACAGGTTTTCCAAATAAAAAACTTAAAAGATGTCAAAAATAGGACCGAAACAAAAGAAATTAATTGTCCATTTCTGAAAATCTATTATAGCCATAAAATTTGGAAGTAGGAAAAACAATCCTCATGTCCACTAAAAGTCAGAAACCTCATACTTGGTTGTTTTTTGTCGTAGCAGTATTAGGATATTTTTTGTCATTTGGATATCTTAAGTTGAAAATCTTAATGCTGACCGACAGTCATAAACCTCATTCTTGGTTGTTTTAATTCATATTTTGATTTTTTTTTGTCATTTAGGTATTTTAATATTCAGATCTTTGAAAGTCTGTATAAAGTTATTCATAGCTTTCCTCCGACTCCCTCAAATCTCCAGCTTTACAATTATATTTATAGACATCTGTCTATTGTTAAGACCATATGTTCACTTATATATGTCTTTTCATTTTTGGCAGGCCTTTCATTAGGAGGTTGTACCTGGTACATGTACTTATATCCATGAACTTCTCATCAGTACTGCCTTGATTAAGGAATTATCAAAAAACGTATTCAAATAACGGATAGAAAAGTGTTGATGACAATTTTGAAAAAGTTAAAAATAGAAGCGACTTATAATTGAGTCCACGATAATAACACCCTTGTATTTGGTTGCAGTTTCACTGACATATATATATATAGACCCAACACCTCCTTTTCTTCATACTATGAGGACTTAATTATGTAGTGGATTGCCAGTATCAAGTTGATCCATAACATTTTCTTTCTACTTGATTCACCAGTTGGTATTAAAATTTAAAGTATATATTATACTCAAAAGCAAATTGCAAATTTTCTATTTGAAAGGTGCTACATATAATAGAATTGACCAACAGAGTTTGAAAAGATACATTGTACCTTACTGATTTCTTTTACAAATACAATTAGAGCTATATTTTCACTGTAAACCATTTACTATAATTTACAAATAGTTCACTCATACTATGCATCCTTAAGTTTATATTTTTTTAGAGGTAGTTCACACCACCAGAGGAAGTGCAACATCTCCCCCTATTAATTAATGACCTTGTTTAATTTCCTATCAAAATAACCTTCTATTTAACAAATATATTAATGACTTGACCCAATTACTACATATTGATTAAAAATAAATCTGACCTACTTTCCCCCCAAGGTAAAAACCATAGTAAATCAATTACACATGCTTTACAAGTATCTATAACTTATTTATTGTAAAATCAGGACGAGCTAAATTTAAACTTTGAAGAACATTTTTTTATAGAAAATATGTTGCCTTACAACCTTACAAGTAAAAAAATAGATTCACATTCATTGAAACATCAGCAGGTCAATAAAGTACAGGAGAAGAATGGTTGCTGTTTCTAATCAAATATTGAAAGCCGAGAACAGGTTAGAAGGAAACTAGGAGAAAAGTGGAAAATGAAATGGAAAGATGAAAGGAGAGAAAAATTCAGAGGAGCAGGATAAGGAAAAGAGTGGTCTAAGGGACAGAGAACAGTAGAAATGGTGCTAAAGAAAGAGAAGAGAAACTCCTTATCAATCCTCTTAGGGTCTACTGTGGGTTCATCAATATTTGTGAGGAACCAATTTCCATGGATTTTGTGGGTATACACTGTAGATGTACAACAAATTTAATTGTTCAATGAAAACTTTCTATAAGCTTGAATGCAGACTGTGGCAAGACTACGAATATGCAATGTTTCCACACCCAAGAAAATTGGTACCCACGAATAGAAATCCAAAGTAATTCACAAACTGATGTACTTATTATCTAACTTTACTCAGAGATGATGAAATACTCAAAAAAACAATATCATCTAAGAAATGCATCATCATGCATGTATTTAGCTGCTTTAGCTAGATGCTAATTTTGCCAACCTTTTTAGACACTTTGAAAGGCAGATCCAGAATGATAAAATTTTCAATTGACCTTGTGACATTTTATCTAGGTTTTAACAAGTGTGGTGAAGAACTCCTATGGAACAAATAAATATGTTTTCACATTTCTGGGCATTTTAGTTCAAGGTTTATTCAATAAACACAATCATAAATCAGAAAACTTCTTTCAATTAATGACACACTACCATCACACCATTCATTTTTATTCTGACAAGAATTTCTGCAAATGACATATTAAGGAAAAGACTGAAGGTGAAATTTGCTAAAAGATGTCAAACCTGTAAACTTTCCCAATTAAGGGGGATTCCCTACGTGACCTGATTCTTGAAATCCCACATTATTAATCTAAACTGAAAACCTCAAAACTTACATTCAAAGGGGTTAAAATGGTATTTAGGTACATATAAACTCATTCCAAACCACAGCATATTAGATTAACATCTCTTTTAGCACGTAAAAGAGAATTTTCGAAGGATTAGGTCCTATATTGCACTTAAAATCATAAATGGAGCTTTAAAGTATGCAACCAAGCAAGATAAAATTCAGAATGATTCACAGATACTGTTATCCAGACTATATCGCAAAGTAAAGCCCGATTATTTCAAGTTCAAATTCAATAAAAACAAATCACGTTAAATGTACCATGCCACAACCATCAGAAAAATAATAAATACCAAATTTCACCTCAAGCCCCCATTGGAGCATATCAAAAAAATCTTCCCCAGTATTTCAAACATAAAAACTCTGTTTTTCTTGTATGGTACATGGTCTATGCACTTATTGAGTTAATATGGCATCTGTGATGCTGCTTGCTGAGAATGTTTAATCTTGATGTTAATTTTAATGTTCCTATAAAACTAATAACTTACTATTGGGCACAATCAATTAATTGGTATTCATTAGATCTTTCATAACAGTTTTGCACACCCTTATCTTTCCATAAAATTTCAGTGTGCTCATAGAATTCCTGAAAAAGAAAAAACAAACAGATATTAAATGGTCACATACAACTGATTAAAATAATGGACAATTACGTTCCATGGGTTTTAAATATAATCCTAACCTTTCAAAAATATAATGATTATTTTACGACGCTTAAAGCAAAATAATTACAAATGAAAATCGCAATATTGTAACAAAATCTAGATGTTGAATTTGAGTGGGAAAGAGAAAGATGACCACAATGAACACTCTGCTAGATAAAGAGGAAATAAATGGAGAATGTGTCCATGTGACACAGATGGCATGGACACAGATGATGCCCCCACTTGCATATAACATTATAAAGGGACACAACTAGAGAACTGTAAAAGTGACACCACCTAAATTCGAACATGATCTATGTTATATGGTAATATGCATTGTGTAAAAGTTTCATAACATTTGATTGAGGCAAACTGCAGTTACAGAACTGAAACCAATTTCGGGAAGTATGTACGGACGGACAAGGGTAAACCTTAATGCTCCCTGCGCAGGGGCATAAAAATTCCAACACAGCCGTAGTGTGTTCTTATACATGTAGAAACATATACATTTACAAGCAAATGTATACAAGTATTTGTTATTTAACAAGACCAATACAATGTCCGGACCTGTGTCACTGAATGCAATTGATTGAGTTGTATAATTAAGCATAACTGATCATTCCCTTTCATTGAAGCCAAGAAATCTGTGATGAAAATAGTCTTTGAACAATTAGTGTTGCAAAATTTCAAAATAGCAGAAAACAAGAAATGACTGCACAGCAGATGCAAAAATTGCTAACACACGTTACAACTCAACATTTATTATTCTATATCAAGCTTCAGACCAAATATAAAATCATTCCCTTCCATAGAAGCCATAACATTTTTGAAGAAACTTTTCTACTCAAGGTCAAGTTGAGTGGTTACTGGACCTGCTTCAGACATTGCAACACAGGTTAAAATATCTTAAGAATAAAATGCTTCGCTGGGCGCAGCTTGATACGACCGCAGAGGTCGAACCCTGAACAGTTGGGGCAAGTATGGACACAACATTCAAGCTTGATACAGCTCTGAATTTGGATTGTGATTAAATATTTGACACAGCATAGGTTTCTGACACAGAAAGAATGTGGTCTAAGAACTTCAATTTTTTTAATTTACCTATTATGGTCCAATGTCCAAAATCAAAATACATGGTTAGATTCAGCATATCAAAGAACCCCATATATTCAATTTCTGTTGAAATCAAACAAAGTTTAATTTTGGACCCCAACTTGGACAAACTTGAAAACTGGTCCCATAATCAAAAATCTAAACACATGTTTAGATTCAGCATATCAAAGTACCCGAAGAATTCATTTTTTGTTAAAATCAAACTAAGTTTAATTTTGGACCCTTTGGACCTTAATGTAGACAAATTTAAAAAACGGGACCCTAAATTAAAAATCTAAAAACACAGTTAGATTTGGCATATCAAAGAACCCCAATAATTCAATTTTTGATGAAATCAAACAAAGTTTAATTTTGGACCCTTTTGACCTCAATATGAACCAATTTGATAGCGGGCCCACAAATAAAAAATCTAAATACATGGTAAGATTCAGCATATCAAAGAACCCCATATATTCAATTTTTGTTGAAATCAAACAAAGTTTAATTTTGGACCCCAATTTGGACCATCTTGAAAACTGGGCCAAAAATCTAAAATCTAAATACATGTTTAGATTCAGCATATCAAAGAACCCTATATATTCAATTTTTGTTGAAATCAAACAAAGTTTAATTTTGGACCCCAACTTGGACCAACTTGAAAACTGGTCCCATAATCAAAAATCTAAACACATGTTTAGATTCAGCATATCAAAGAACCCCAAAAATTCAATTTTTGTTAAAATCAAACTAAGTTTAATTTTGGACCCTTTGGACCTTAATTTAGACCAATTTAAAAAACAGGACCCAAAATTAAAAATCTAAATACACGGTTAGATTTGGCATATCAAAGAACCCCAATAATTCAATTTTTGATGAAATCAAACAAAGTTTAATTTTGGACCCTTTTGACCTCAATATGAACCAATTTGATAGCGGGCCCACAAATAAAAAATCTAAATACATGGTAAGATTCAGCATATCAAAGAACCCCATATATTCAATTTTTGTTGAAATCAAACAAAGTTTAATTTTGGACCCCAATTTGGACCAACTTGAAAACTGGGCCAAAAATCTAAAATCTAAATACATGTTTAGATTCAGCATATCAAAGAACCCCATATATTCAATTTTTGTTGAAATCAAACAAAGTTTAATTTTGGACCCCAACTTGGACCAACTTGAAAACTGGGCCCATAATCAAAAATCTAAACACATGTTTAGATTCAGCATATCAAAGAACCATAAGAATTCAATTTTTGTTAAAATCAAACTAAGTTTAATTTTGGACCCTTTGGACCTTAATGTAGACAAATTTATAAAACGGGACCCAAAATTAAAAATCTAAATACACGGTTAGATTCGGCATATCAAAGAACCCCAATAATTCAATTTTTGATGAAATCAAACAAAGTTTAATTTTGGACCCTTTGGACCTCAATGTGGACCAATTTAAAAACGGGGCCCAAAATCCAAAAACTTAATACACGGTTAGATTCAGCATATTAAAGAACCCCAAGAATTCAAGAATAAAACCCCATTGAAATTGATCAAGAAATAAGCAATTTATACGAAGTATCTTCTTTTGCACAATACTGTGCAATTGAATATTTCTTGCTATTGCGCAATACTGTACAATTGACAATTTCTTGCTATTGCGCAATATTGTGCTATTGGATATTTCTTGCTATTGCGCAATACTGTTAAATTGAAGATTTCTTGCTATTGCGCAATACTGTGCAATTGAAGATTTCTTGCTATTGTGCAATACTGTGCAATTGAAAATTTCTTGCTATTCAGCCTATTGCACAATACTTATTATATAATAATTTACACATCCTGTTTGGTGTGTATCTCCTACCATATCATTATTATTTGCTTTTAAATATAAATCAGAAATAACCAACTTAAAATGGAAAATTTTAAAAGAAAAAAAAAAGGAAAAAAAGAAAAAAAAAAAAAAATAATCCCCCCCCCCAATTTTTTTGAACCCCCTTATGATTCATCACCCCCAAACTCAATCCCAGCCTTCCCTTTGTGGTATGGTACCTTGCAGTACAATTTCAGAGAGATCCATACACTTGAACACAAGTTATTGTCTGGAAACTAGAAAAATGCTTATTTTTGGCCCCTTTTTGGCCCCCAATTCCTAAACGTTTCGGGCAATTACCCCCAAAATCAATTCCAGCTTTCCCTTTGTGATATGGAACCTTGTAGTACAATTTCAGAAATATCCAAACACTTACACACAAGTTATTGTCATGAAACTAGAAAAATGCTTGTTTTTGGCCACTTTTTTGGCCCCTAATTCCTAAAATTTTGAGGCAATTACCCCCAAAATCAATTACAGCCTTCCCTTTGTGATATGGAACCTTGTGGTACAATGTCAGAGAGATCCATACACTTACACACAAGTTATTGTCTGAAAGTTACAAAAATGCTTATTTTTGGCCCCTTTTTGGCCCCTAATTCCTTAACTGTTGGTACCATAACCCCCAAAATCAATCCCAACCTTCCTTTTGTGGTATTGAACCTTATGGTGAAATTTCATGGAGATCCATTCACTTAAACTAAAGTTAGAGTGCGAAAACCAATGTGTCTTCGGACGACGCCGGACGACGACGACGACGACGACGACGACGCCAACGTCATACCAATATACGACCAAAAAATTTTTAATTTTTGCGGTCGTATAAAAAGGTCTCACATTTTATCATGAAGGTATAACCCTTTTATAAGCAAACTACTATCAAATTGACCCATGGGAAGTTCAATGATAAATCCTAATAATATACTGGAATTACACACTATATACAAATTAAATTCTATTCTAAGCTATACAAATATATAATAAATTTAATGTAGTAAAATGATGGATGTGGCCTTTTAGAAAAGGCCAATGACATTTTCATCCTTCTCAACAAAAGAGGTACAAAAATATATATATAAATATACACCAATTTTAAATATGGAACCACGTTATATTTTGAGCAGACAAACTGTGAATTTAAAAAATAAACAGTTTCAAAATGCCAATTATATAACATTTTAGTATATACAACACAAATGTGTAAAAAACAAATTTGATGAATTCAGCTCATCAAAGTTTTACTTATTGTTTTTCTTGAGTTGCTCTAATATTTTAATTCTTTGCATATTTGCAACCACATACAACAATAAATATGTATACATGCATAACTTTTAAAATTCTATCACATTTCATTATTGAATTCATTTGTAATATGATCAATAAAAATCTATTAAAAAGACAAGCCTTCAATTATCTTGACTGTTTGGTAAACAAAGATAGCATTATTAAGCAGATATATATGAATTACTATTTATCAATAAAATAAGCAATAATATCCCCTTGCTTGTACCCCCTACTGTCAGTCTGTGTATTCACTAGTGTGTAGTTTCATTACTGATTTTCTATCTGTCCCCTGGCAAGCTAAATTTATCTAACTCTGCCTATTTTCTGCAGTGAATTATGCCATCTGTTGCTAAAAATAGTCTGACCTGTAGCCAGTATAATGCTTCCCAGCCAATCAGACTTTATGTACACTTTACATGCTATGTTGTTTGAGGAAAAATCAATTGTATTTTTGATCAATCAGCAAATAGCAGTCAGAAACTATACCTGCCGAGGTTAGCTACAGAAATTAAATAATGACATTGATTCTGCCAAGTGAAGACAATTTTATCTTAGAAATTTTGTACAAAAAAAAAATATTCTGATCTGAATAATATGAAGAAATAAGAAAAGCTAGCCGCATTAGGCAGCAGGTTAATAATCCATGGCTCTGGAATTCATAATATGCTAAATGGAAATTCTAATCACTTCCTGAATTTT